CCCAAGAACTAAATCTAAAAATTCTACATTTTTGTTGTAAAGTTTCGACGAAAGACAGGAGAAGGACGGCGGAAGATGTGTTAGGTGCTGTTAGTCGAATTACAACAGTTACACCTTGATTTAATGTAACAACAGTCACTAGTAGTCAATGATAATCAAACCTAAGATTCATTCGACGATTTTCTAAAATATTAATTTCAATTGCGACAATTTAGCCCTTAGTCCATGAGTTTTGGCGTATTTTTCCCGCTGGTGCTACTTGATATAAGTTTTAATGTTATATTAATTTTTTTTTTCCATTTTCACATTGAGCTTTTGTAAGAGTTTATGTTCATTTCTTTTATTATTTATTTATTTTCACGTTCAGCTTTTGTAAGAGTTTAAAAAGAAAACTGACGTTTTTCTCTTTCTTTATTTATAGAGATTAATGAAGGCGCCCAGGACTCACACTGTTGTGACGTCAACGCTCATTCTGCAAATACTTTGGGATTCTGCATATGCACCTGTAAGCTAAACTATTATGGAAATGGAGAAACATGCAGACAAATTGGTGAGTTTGATCAATCATTGCACAGATAAATCATTTGCAGATCAGTAATCGCAAATCAAGATGTTTCACATACTTTTTTTACTCTTTTAGAAGCGGATTACCTTTCAGATGACACGCTCAGTATTTACATAATTATACGCCTCCCACCGTTTCGCGCCTTAATTCAGAGAATAGAACTACATAAATAGAGCTATTTTTGTCATATTCTTCTATTCACTAAATTAAAGCGCGCTAGTGACCACCCTCGACTAAAGCCGATTCACAACATTGTGCACCTGTCCTAAGCAGTTTATGATAATACGTTGTCTTTCTCAAGTCTGTTATGAATCCACCAGATAAACTTTTTTTACCTCGCCAATCACATGTTCCTACACAAAGAAAAGAAAAACAAACAAAACAAAAAGAAAAAAAACAACAACAAATGATGGGACATTTAATACATTGTCAGCAAATAATCAAGGACAGATACGTTGCAATAATTATCCTTCGCTAGGCAGGCGCCCATATTTCACTTTATCAAATTTGGGTATTAACAGTTAACTTCTGCCTTTAGCCTGCATTAATTTTGGAAACTGGATGGTTCTAATCAATTGTGTCGGTGCTTACGCCTACAAAGGAATAGCCTGCATAGCAAGCTAAATTTTGGCGAGTTAGTGCAGTATTTTCCTTACGAAAATTATGGCTGTCATCTTTGATTCAATGGTAGTTGAAGGCTGGGGTGTAAAACAAATTTGTATCAAGGGGGGGGGAGCGACAGTGGAAAAATAGTAATGGGGGAGAAGGTTGAGAGTGACATTATTTTCCTCCGTTCCCGCCCCCTCCCCCGTACTGTCGACTCTAACTCCAAATGAAACATGGCCGGTTGAATAAACGATCGCGCGCTTCTTAACGTCAACTCGCGATAATCTGAAGTTCTTTGATATTCATCATCATCATTTCCCGTTTGTTTTTTTTTTTTTTCTTTTTTTCAACTCTCAAGTTGATGGTTGTCATAACTACTAAAAACTGACTGAGTTTGAAAGGAAAAGCAGTCACGTCACACCCCAGTTTGGTCCAGTATACTGTGACGACCAACTCTCCAAAGGATGGTATCGTTTCATGGGAGCTGCAGGCACAAAATTCAGATGTGGTGCAGGCTGGTGGGGCTAGTTGGATGGTGATCATCCTTCAGTGGGAGATGGTGAAGTTCTTAGGAAAGTCTATCTTAGTGATCGTAAAATGGATTGCAAGAACACATTGGACATTTTTGTGAAAGATTACAGACTGCATCCACCTCCGGTTTGTAATTCGCGTTATTGGGAAGATAGGTTGTAAACATGAATGAACTTAGGGTAGGATAGGGGAACACCTAAATGGAATGTTTCATCATTAATTTATCGAATACTGTTACTGAGAATAATTTGATGGATAATAATGGATTTCAACAAACGCTTGAACTCGGCTTGAGTAATCATTTTAATTGAATATGAATTATAATAAAACGCATTTATTCTATTTTATACCGACAAAACTGAGATATATGTGAAAAAAAGGCAATTTTCACCATTTATACCATGCAATTCATTTAACACACAATTTTTTATTAAACTTTACGCTCTCTAATTACCCCGATTAACTCAATTTTATGAGTTAAACCTAGCGGTCATTGTTTTCACTTCTACGCTCTTATCACTACAGTAACTTGCCTAGAGACGTACTTGGGACAACTGTCAACGAAGATTGAACCTTTCTTTAATCCTTTACAGTCTAAGATTGGTATAAAGAAAACGTAATACTTTCCAACATAAAAGGAATATTTAAAAACCTACCACTGCCAAGATGTCTCAGTGATCCAGCGGCATTTTTCGCGAGTTTGTCTATGTCACAAATCTTTATATTGTGCCCAAAAAGTACTTAGTTCTCCGAGAATGCGAATAAAAGAAGAGGATAAATCTGTTAGGAACCTTTTGTTAATCTTGTTGTTTCTCTAGACAAGAATTTATTCGCTGCGATTCAAGATTACAGAATCTTTAGGTTTGTTTTTGACCAGCGGTTTCACCCTTTACACCCATCATCCCTTGTGCGGATGGGGAAGCATGTGCTCTTGTAAAAAAATGGCGCCATTGTGTTTCAGCCCTTGTATTTCTGTACGGATTTTTTGTTCAAGTTAATCACAGTTTTTACGGGACAGTGTCGATGCTCCGAATAGCAAAAAGCGAGAAACAACGTATGTTTGAACAGTGTGAAGTTTATTTCTCTTGTTGCTTGTATTTTTTACATCAGTTTCGCTTCGTATCAGTACAAAATACATTTTCTAGTTTCTGTCACCTAGGGTTTACTTAGCTGCGTTCTAGCTATATTCTAACTACGAATAAACTGGAGTTGAAACGTTTGCTGTGCCCTCCTTGCATCGACGCCGTTACAATAAATGCAATGCTTGCAGTAGCAGTTTTTGACGTTGGGGCATGTATTCATTTTTGAGTGTATTACACAGAAAAAACCATGTACAAGCTGTGGTGTGATAAACTCAAGTAATGGAGTTAAGATGAGAAATGAAGATATTAAGGAGCACAATATTGGTTAATCTGGACGTGCCCCTCTCCTCTCCTTCCTATGTAAAATGTGACTTAATCAGGTGTAATTTTCTATCGTAAGTTTTCTTTCCTTGAAAATTAATATCTTTTACCTTATTCTTCACCTTCTATCTATTTCTTCTAAGGTTTAGATAAATAAATAAACCAAAAAAAATTGATTAAATTTTCCGCTTAAATCTTTTCAATTTACAATTTGATGGCACAAGGCATTATACATGACCTCAAATGTTGCAGCTGAATCTTCCTTCTGTTTCCAGTGGAGTAATATTTTGTAGGCTTTCAAGTTAAATTGCTCATTTTCCTTGTCAAAAGCCGTGAGCTTTTCACCTTCGATATTGAGACGACCCCCAAGTGGCTCCCGCACTTCCTCGATCTTCTTTGACAGCCTCTCTGGATCCTTTTTGCTAACCCCTGTCGTACGTTTGTCTTCAAGAGTAAGAATATCAAACAGAGTGGTGTAAATAAATCAGATGTTAGGTACACGTATTCAGCAGCATCACTTTGCCTTCACCCTCCTACAGTAGACTTGTGTAGGTGAGGTTCCGGGGGTAGGTATCCATAATAGCAACAATGTCTGTTACCATTTCATTATCATACAACCCATTACATTTTAAAAACAGTGGATAGGAAGTAAGAAATTAAAAACAACTTTCGTGTTTTTAGTATTTTTCGGTTAGAGTAAAAGATAGGGGAATTAAACAATCGACTTTGTTTGGTTCCACAATCAATAGGTTAGCACTTGGCGAGCTGAAAATGGCTCTATTACACGCGGTCGAGGCTCTACTCGATCCGAGTATACTTCCCGTGAGAAACTTGCTTGACGCAAGGACACAGTCTTGACGTACACATCTGAAACTAATGGTTAACGACTTCCGAGTTCCTTGGTCTGATTTAAAGAAAATTTGTATTCACAACAAGATAACTATAACTATTCACTTACAGGTTAGACAAGAAGTGAAGAAACTGACATTGCTAATAGCTGTTGCTATATGTATTTCTGTCGAATTCATTATCGTTTTAATTTTTTTGAGTCTTGTTTTGACCATGTGAAAAAAGGCATCCAGAACACGTCTTTGGAAAATGAAGAATACTGAGTTAAAAAACTTTAGTTAATCTATCCTTTTGATCAAGCATCTAAACGTACGAGTCTTCAACTCCTTAAATGATCCAAGGAAAGCAGTCCAAAAGAGCGCATATCATATTAAGCAGGTTCTCAATTAATAATTGATATGTTTTTCTAAAACAGCCAACAGGAGTAGTTTTCTTTATCTATCACATTACACTCGCGCCAATCATACTAGTTTTTGGTAGAAATCAGGTGATTGCAAAGTAAATATTCAGATATCCACAATAAGTTCATATTCTGCTAAGCAAAATGGTTCCTTTCCTCTCTTTAATACAACTCTATCAGCCATCTCTTCGACTCTCCACTCACTGAGGCTTTAAGTGTTTGGATCTTTTTACAGAAATCTGGAAAATTGCTGTCGAAATAACGATTTTTTGTGCTTTCTTTCACGATGCGTGCTATCCTTGGTTGAGTTAGGGTGGTTGGATGACTTTTTTAGGCATGTTTTGGCTTGGTAGGGCCCCAAAATTCGATTTTCTCTTTGTCATCTTTGTAGATTTAACTGCAAAGGAATATTAAGAAATTATAAGATAATGTATTGATGTTTCGATCGATAAAACAAGCTAGTTATTTTTAGTTTATAGGCGCCTATGTTTGTGTGTGACATCTACATCAACTTAAGGCAAAACAAGGCCAAATACAAATCTCAATGTCTTCTGGCTTGAAATGCTTTACAAACGTAAATACTTTATCATTATCAATTTGGTTTTGAAAATCTTTATCAATGACTCGATATTTGGTCAGCTCGTTTAGCCAAGCTTCGCGCCATTTTCGAAAGTTATCATTGAGAGGAGTGGGTAGTTTCTAGATGCCGAATCCTTTGGTTCTATGGCACGAAACACATCCAAAGACAAAACAATTGTCTCCAAGCATTATAGAGAGATCAACTAGCGAGAATCGAACTTATATATAGCGTAGTTTGCGTATGACAACACATTTTTAATCGAGGAACATGAAGCAGCCTAGATCTCATCACCCCATGTTCGTTTTTAGTGTGCACGGTCGTGTGACGTCATAGCTCATAAATCTGAACAAATAGTTACTTCTTTGAAGTTCGCCGCGCTTCCTAACCAGCTCCCTCTACTAACTATGGTTCTTTGCAGTTAATCGCTGTTGTTTTTCTCTTACCGAGCTGGCAGTTGATGGAATGGAACCTGATGATGGAATTAAGAAGACAGTGCTTCATAAAACATCGTCAACTGTTATAACTTCACAAGTTCACTAATAATTTATGAAGGCAGATGCCAATAAATGGGGCACTTTTGGGTCACATGCATGAACTTTGATATCCAATGAACACTCAGATGAAAATCTTGAGGGTTTTGATCTGAGATGAAACATGATTTTGATCTCAGTTTGAAAAACACTTACATTTTAATAAGCGTTTTCAATAATTAATACATCGCTAACAACAATTCCCAAAAATAACCAGAATATTGTTTCATGAATGGTCTTCAGTGGATTTTTCTCCCCTAATTTCTCGGCCACCTCCATCACAAACTTGCGAGGCCAGTAATTTAAGGTTACTGCACCTATTTCTTCACTGCTAGTAAAAAGCGGTGCGATCTTGAGTATATCATAGTCTTTAAAAAGTGCTTCTGCATCGATCACAGGAGCTATAACCGACTGAGAAATTTTGCGTTCGCCAAATATTGTTACCGCTTATTTGTTTTTACATTTAGGAAACGAAGGAATAGCTTTTTGACTAATGCACGTTCTTCGTAAACCGTCTTTGGCTCCCTAAATCTTGCCGCTCCGTCTTGGCTCATGGTCACAAACCAACTACACCAAACAATGAATCATGCATACAGGTCAACGTAATGCTTCAAATAATAAAAGCACGCGGCCTGCAGCCTCGTGGTTCCATCTGTTTCTCGGTGTTTGAAACTCCTGATGAAACACTGAAATTCGTTTTTGATATATTACATCAAAAATGATAAATTCTTAACGTAAGATTTTTTCCTGTCGCCATCTCTACTGACTCAACGGATAATGCAACGGCGGATCCACACCTTGAGCTAAGGATGGGGGGGGGCGTTTCTGTTTGTGTGCCCCCCCGGCCCCTTTCTTTAGATCCGCCACTGTGATAGTTTCGGGTTCAGTCAAAAGTGAAACGAAAGAGGAGAGGAATAAAGCTTTCCTTTCGAACCAGAACATATTTAAATCATGTGCTTGACAAATAAGGATACTATCAGGTCTATCGCACAATTTTATTAGGATTATGCCACTCTGTAAGGTTCATCCTCGGAGACCCAGGGGCTGAGTGGATTTCAAGTTAGGGCATGAAGAGCCCCTGGGGACATTTTCTTACAAGACTAGTTCCAAACGGTCGCAGTCGTTCTGCCATCTGATTGGTGCCAGAAAATCTTTGTGTTTTTCTGCCCAATCAGAGTGAAGTGTGCTTTAGAGTCCTTTCGTGTGTTTTAACACGGACATATACTAGTAGCTCAGTTGCTCACTATGTTTGTTTGGACCGTGCGACGGAGATTTGCTTGAGGTGAAAAGTTTCAGTCTCAGCACACAATGTAAGAGAAATCGATCAGATTGTCCGCGAAAATCTTACCGGAAATTATACTGAATACTTTCGCAGGTATCACTAGAGAACGTGTTTTAAAGTTTGCGAGGTTTGTATACAACACGATGGTTGCAGTCATTGATATGTCGCTTTAAACGTTAAACGAGATTTAAGCTTAAATCTTTCTAGATTTTTTGCATAATTTGCTGTGACTGAAACTTTGCCAATCCCGTGAAAAATCTCTGTCGCACGGTCCAAACAAACATGGTGAGCAACTGGGCTACAAGTATATGTCCGTGTTAAAACACACGAAAGGACTCTAAAGCACACTTCACTCCGATTGGGCAGAAAAACACAAAGATTTTCTGGCACCCATCAGATGGCAGAACGACTGCGACCGTTTGGAACTAGTCTTGTAAGACAATGTCCCCAGGGGCTCTTCATGCCCTAACTTGAAATCCACTCAGCCCCTAGGTCTCCGAGGATGTGTAAGGTTAAGCGTTCTATCAGAGGAAGCGGGGCTCAGTAATTTTTTGTAGATTATCACTGCAAATTTTGCAACGAAAAATGAACTTAGCGTTTTTGCAGTTTTGCTCTCCTTAGCCTGAATAACTTTCGAGTAACCAAGTTAACCCTTTAATTGCCAAGATCTGGGTCGGCTGTTCAAAGGGTGGATAACATTAATCCTACGGATAAATCGCTATCCCACGGATAAGTGATAGTAAAGCGTATTGCGTTATTCACAGGATACAGTTCTATCGAGTGGATAGCGCTATCCAACCTTCGAACAACTGGGACCTGATTGTTAATTCTCCCCTCTAGCTGCCACACATTTCCTTCCAAATAAGTTACGAGAATTTGGAGCTAGATCAAGATAACAATTTCTAGCTGATAAGCTTGAATACTCTGATCACCTGTTTGCTGGATAATGGAAGGATATTATAGGGAGAAGTTACATGTTAATCACTTTTGAGAGTTAAAGGGTTAAATAAGAGATATCAATCCACACATTCAAAGAAACCGCCATAAATTTGACCTTCTTTCCAAGAATTGATAATAATTGGAAGAATGCTCCCTTGAAAACTATCCTGAAAAACAGGAGTCAACTTATTGTGTTTTCATTTGAGCGGGCGAAGTAATGCGGCGCGCGAGAGAGGCGACAAGACACGACCTAAGAAATGCAAAGAAAGAAACCTCCCGCCTTCAGGCTATTCGAAAATTAAAGCAGTTGACTGATTTCTTGGATGCATATCACATTTGATTATTTCCGTTTAGGTAAATGTACTTTTCAGATACGAATGTCGGACCGGGCGTTATAGCGGAACTTGCTGCGCGCACGAAAGGCAACCAGCGTAGCCATAGGCTTCGAGAAATTGGTAACCCATCCCTTTCCTCTAAAAACCCTGCTTCTCCCCTCGTTAGACAATCATTAATGCTGGCTCCTTATCTCCATATTTCATCAAACAGGAATATTTTTTTCGCTCCCTTTCCAGACTATAGAAACATCAAAACCGTCCCTATTGGCAAAGAATTAAGACCTTCATTCTGTAATATAAGATTTCATCGATTGACTAATATTCTAAACTTGCTTGCAAAATCTTCCTGAAAATTTTTTATAAATTTAGTCACTCAGTGATATAATCATCTCTTTATTAGCGCAGGTAATCTCACGATATCGAATTAAATTTTGTGTAAATAAGCCCGTTTATCATTTTTTTTTTAAGGCGACAAAATTGCACGAGACTATAGGAAGAGTGGAACTTGAGGTATTTGGGAAAAAATTACGAGTGCTTATTTATTCCAAACTTGAAATGCACGAGAAAAAGCAAGTCATCTCTTATTCATTTATAGCCAATAAAGCCTTTCATACCTGTCAGCTTTTCATGATAATGCAGAAACAAAGAGGGTTGAACTAAGTGAAAATAAATTAATTCAAACCAAAATGTCATCATATGTTTTGTGAAACAAAGTGTTTAATGAAAAGGAATTTTTTTTCGACATTCCTTTCTATCTTACCTTATAAACAAATTTTTATCGCTTTTTCACTGAATTACCTATTTTCTTCCTTGCATTGGTGTTGCCTGAAAACTGTATTTCAACCAATCAGAATGCAGAAATTACTTCATGTATACTATTACAGGCCTAGGTGTCCTATACAGCTTTTATGAACATGAATGTCTTCTAGAGTAAAAAAAATGCTGTGTAATAAAAAATAATTCATTTACTTATGAAATGTATACAAAACCATGTCAACTTTCAGACCTTTAAATACAATAATAAAATAATAAAACGCAGGCAACGTTGCACAGACATACACTTCTGGCTCTTATCACAGCTAGTTATTTTTAAAACCTCCAACACTGGCAACTTCTCCTGTATCCTGCATGCCATATAAGGGCATCAATTTCACGCAAAGTAGACCTTGAAAAAAAAAACAATGAGTATCTTAAGCGAATAAACGTCTACCTCGAAACCAATTGCACAACAATTTGCAGAAAAAAAGAAGTTGAATATCTTAGTACAAGTCGCCTACGTGCCACTGATAGCCCAATATCAATACCCAACATACGATTCATTCGGATCGGCTTTAAAATTGGCGGGACAAACAAACCAGTAATTTACATTTTGGCATTGAAGACTGAGCAAAGATAAAATAAGCTTATCTCACCAACCTGAGATAATCATCGCCGGTTGTTTAACTCACTGTTACCTACGTGACTCAGCAGTAAGTCAAGAACATCTGAGCCACGTGATGAGGCAAGATATAAAGAATCCTGACCGTCATTATCCTTGCTCAAAGGATTGGCTCCCCTCTCAAGATGTTTTACACCTTGCAACTTGCCACAACGAACAGCAATGACTAGAGAGGTAGCACCGTTAGCGGCTTTTGACTCAATGTCCGGCACATGAGTAAGGATAAGATCAATGACATCAGGGTTACTACTCCTTACAGCACAATGTAACATATTCCATCTTCTGTCATTAACACAGGTTACATTTGCCCCCTTCTCAAGAAGCCGTTTTACTGCGTGTAATTTGCCTTTCAAAGCCGCCACCATTAGTGGCGTGTTACCATTGGTTTCTTTGGACTCAATGTCCGGCAAGTGAGTACGGATAAGATCAATGACATCAGTGTCTCCACCCTCTGCGGCAAAATGTAACATATTCCATCTTCTGTTGTCAACACAGGTTACATTTGGCCCCTTCTCAAGAAACCATTTCACTGCGTGCAATTTGCCAGTCAAAGCCGCCACCATTAGTGGGATGTAACCTTCGGCTGTGTTGGACTCAATGTCCGGCCAAAAAGTATGGATAAGATCAATGACATCAGTATTTCCTCCTTGTGCGGCAAAATGTAACATATGCCATCTTCTGTTATCAACACAGGTTACATTTTCCCCCTTCTCAAGAAACCATTTCACTGCGTGTAATTTTCCGGTGAAAGCCGCCACCATTAGTGGCGTGTGACCCTCGGCCGTCTTGGACTCAATGTCCGGCAAGTGAGCATGGATAAGATCAATGAAATCAGTGTTTCCACCCTGTGCGGCAAAATGTAACGCAATCCATCCTCCCTTGTCCATCAGGGACGGATCTGCTCCTCTCTTAATCAGACCCTTCACCGCTTGGAAGTTGCAATTTACAGCAGCATGAATTAGGGGTGTTCTGCCTGTTGCGTCTTTGGAGTGAACAGAAAATCCTGAAATCAGACAACGTGAAAAGAAATTAAGACAGGTCACATTATCAAAGAAGGAGGTCGAGGTGGGAGAGCAAGTTTTGGAAAAAAGTTTAACTAGTCAACAGTACTATGCGAGCAGCTGTTATTATACTTCTTTATTCTCTGAGGCGTTTCGTCTAACTGTCGTAGACTTCTTGGAGGAGTTTTACAAGTTAACACTAAACAGTTCCTTGTTGTCCTCGCTCACCCCAGAAGTGCCGTCTAAAAATCAGATAATGCGAAAAGAAATTAAGACAGGCCATATAATCCAAAAAGACTGTGGAGGTAGGAAAGGAATTAAGGAGCTCATAATTTTTTAGAGATAATTTGTTACAGAATCGCATTATTGAATAACTAAATGAGGTATATAGCATAGCTATCAAGGCTAATTAACAATTATTCCACGAGCGCGCGTTGGATATGAGATAATATATGGCTAACGAGGCACGTAGCGCTGAGTTGACTATAATCATGTCATTCATATCCAACAAGCGCGAGTGGTATAATTGCTTCAAAAAAAGAAAAAACGCCCCTAAGATATTAGAGAAATCTTCTCGACTTTAATTTGTAAGAAGAAACCGGATGTTACAATGTACAGATATTAGATTATGGTATGTTGGCTCATATGGTTGGGTTTCAGGTGACGTCACAAGCTTTGCTGAAGTTAGTGTCCGCCATGTTG